ACATACATTTACAGCTCCAAAAATGTTATTCCAAACAAAAAATGGAAATGAGTTGATGTGCGGCCATGTCCAACCCTGTTGCAGGACGATGGAAATTGGCTTGGAAAATTCGATGCACTTCAAGTGCGACTAATTTGTCCAGGCCACTAAAGCCAAGTTTCCAGCAAGTGGTACGGTTCAGTTTGCCACAGTAGAACTCAGAGCAGGTAACCCAAATCATATTGATGAACTAATTGTTGACTAATTGTATTTTGAAGCAGTCGAAGCAAACTGAGAGTCATGTACATATCAGCAAAAGGGAACTTTGAAAGGATGGTAAACGGAGTGAACTTCACTCCCCTCCTTTGAAAACAGGATTACAAAAGGATTCCTCAATACATCAGATCTCACAGTGTCTAAGGAAACAATTTGGCAGCAAGAGAAGACCCTGAAAATGACAAATGACTCGTGTTGACATTTCATGCAGGTCATCCTGTGTCAGCGAAAACCCAGTGACGGTTTAATGGATAACTCCCCTCACCGAGCCAGAAATGAGTCCAAAGTGACCATGGTTGGCCACTGATAAATTTAGATATACTGTATAGGTTCACGGTATTCCCTCACTCCTTCAAAGTTCGTGTATTGTGGATTCACTGTGTCTTGGATTTTCATTTGTGACCAAAGCTTTATTTAAGTTTTACCATTGCTGTTTTGCGTGTTTTCTAACTTTCCTTATTCCATCTAAGTCAGACAAATGTCAGTTTATTTATTTATTTACTTATTTGGGGGCGGGGGGTTACATAGACCAAGACTGTGAACATCAGACGGATTGTTGCATCCAAAATCCTTGTTTCCTCGTGGTGGGTGCGTTCTGAAATGTGGTCTAAGTCCGCTGCTTCACTCAGTGTTTGGAAGCTCAACTTTGGAAAAAAGTTGTTCAAGTGGTGCCATTCAGATATTCAGAGTGCATCAAAAAAAAGGGAGCCCAGTGCAGGTAGTACTGTACAAGGAAAGTCAACAGCTACGTTCAGCAATTATTGTGGGAGGAGTCACGCCCTACAGTCCGGCAGCATATAAGGACGAGGACGACAATGTTGTCTTCATCACTGTTTTTTTTAATCGTAAAATGGCTTCTCGTAAGCAGAATACCGCGTTGCAGTGTAACCAAAGGCACAGTCCTCATGGATTAATAATACTGCCATGACTACAATAGTCTACTACTTCCGTAATATAATATTCAATAGCCCTTTTAACTTTTTGAGACAATTTTGTTTCTTGGAAAAATATTGCTTGCAGTTCGCAATTTTTTTTTAGGTTTCATGTTCTGTTTTAGACAGTGCTTTAACTTACCATGAGCTTTTACCTTGTATGACAGTTAAGAATGGCAAAACGTTAATCAAAAAGGGGTTGTTTATTAATTTCCCTTATTCCCTATCGGAAATACAAACAATTCAGACACCGACTTGCAACCCAGAACAGAATATGTTTGAAGTTTAAAATTCCACACTAGGATTTGAGCCCTGCACTTAGCTTATTGATGTGTCTTGGGCAGTAAAGAGCCCCTGGTTCACTTCCCAGTGCTTTGATACCATAAGGTGTAATTTGAATGAAAATGAAATCAATGTGGAAATAAATAAAAGCAGTTAAAGTTGGTGCGGCACCCTTCTCGTTCCCTGCCTGCTGGCAAGAGGAAAGCATAGAGGTTGTATCCCAAAGACGCAATATGGCGCGCATTTCATGTTTATTAAAAAAAAAAAAAAAAAAGAAAAAACAAAAAAGAGAGCTTCAGAGTCGACAAAGTTTTTGCTTGTGGACATGCAGTAATAAAGCGGCTTTTCGTCTACATGAATAAACACACTGTTTATGGCCAATATTTATTTGTCCACGACTCCAAACCACACATTAGTTCACAATCTTTAAAAAGAAACTGCAACAGGCTCCAGGGGAAAAAAAACAGCATATGACCGCTTTTGGTCAAAAGTTGTCAGCAGCCAGAACTTCGACTCTAAGATTGAATTATCCCCAAAATAGCAGCTATCATCTGTGCTTTCGCCTTCCTATTTTAGGAATGTTATCATTCAACATCAACCAAAACAGAGTCAAACTGAGTTAAAAAAAAAAAGTACAAAATCCCATCTGTGCTGATCGATGAGGTCATGCTGGGGCACAACAGTGCTCGTCACGTGACATGTGGAAAGAACTCAACGAGTCAATGCAATCATCATTCAAATTTCAGTATTTTTCTTGAACCATCGCGATCTTACACTGCACTCGCTGTCACTCGGGCATGTTAGTTAGCGTCTGTTTGATTTGTTGCAAAAAGGCAAACATTACTCAAGTATCAACTGGAGGGGAGACGAGCAGATGATTGATGAGCCACTGCATTTCACTTATGTGACAGAACAAAGCTTTGGGTTACCATCATCCTTAATGATAATAATAATAATGGGGATGGCTGAGTACCTACAGCAGGTGTGTCCAACCTTTTTTGACAGAAGATCTATTTTACAACCAACCAACCTCCCGCGATCGACCAGTTACCGCACGGGCACGCACACGCACCCGCAGTAATGCGCAGGTGTGCATACGCACGCACGCATGCCATGATGAGAAACAGCCATAATGGCCCCTAACATGAATGAAACAAAAAAAATTAAGTACCTGTAATTACAAGAGTTTGTGAGAAGGAAATCACTGTCTACCTTAGTAGAGACCTGATGCAAAGGCATGGGATGAACTTTTGCAGCGTGTTAAGTGCAGAAAATTGTTCGTATGTGTAGTGTTTTAAAATGTTTCTCCTGCCGCTCCAGATTTCCATATATATACTGTATATAAAACCGTAGGTTAAAGGTGACCTGCTTTTTCATTTTATTTTTTAATACTTTATTGTGAAAGTGAAACTGATAGGATGCTTAGGGTGCAGTGTACACTAACACAAAAATATATAATATTAATAATATGCACACATACACACAAAATATATTTTTTTCCATTCACCCATACACCCCTCACGATTGACTTGTGACCAGTCCGCAGGATATCGGTCGATCGATGTCGCATTGGGCCGAAACTGGTCTTATTTTAAAATATTGAGTGCTCATGGAGGCTGCTGATACCAGCCACCGATACCTAGGGCAAAAAAACCCTGACAACGTCGTTGGCGCTATATTGTGGTAGTTTGACAGAGAGTCAAATCATCCTCTGCGTCAGAGAGAAAGGTCTTTTTTTTATCCTTGTGTAAAATGAAATTTTATAGACTGGTACATCAAAAGTATACAGGTATCAATACTTTGTCAAAATATGAAAAAAAATATTGGGAAAAATGAACAATGTGAATACATGGATACTGAACTGTAGTTTTAAGTTGTAATATTACCATTCACCACTAGAAGGCAGACATGGCTTAAATGCACTGATACCAGGTCTTATACTACAACATGAGTTGGTCTGATAATTTTTTGCGAATTTCAAATGATATCTAGGGCAAATGTAGTACCTCAATAATATTTCATTTTTGAGTGAATACATTTTGGGGAAAAATACACAAAATGAGTTCTTGCACTTAAATTTGGTTTGCTGTTCAGCAGTTTTGTGCCGTCCTTGAATGATTACTTTTATTTAAGAGAACCCTTTGCACTGGGGGAGAGGGGGAGAATCACCAGTATGTGGTTATTTTGTTGTTTGTTGTTACGTTGGGATAATGGATCTTCTATTCTCAGGATGAGAAATGTATCGTGAAAATTGCACTCTAAAATATCATTTTTGTCATATATCTGATGAGGAAGTCTGGGGTTCTATGTGGCCCCCCGCATAGAACTGATGAAACCCCCCCCCCCCCCAAGCATTTAGGCTGCCCATCACTGACCTAAAAGGTTTCACTGGAATACGCGTGTAGGTGTCCATGTGTTGTAACAAGGAAATCGTGTGTTACCGTAAATTCAAAAGAAGTATGTCACAAATTTACTACAAGCTCCTGAAAGACCAGACTTGTCAAGCGGTATGTCCTGATTTGGAGGATAAAACGGGTTTGGAGACATACTTTGCCCATGCCTAACTACAATGTAATGATACATCAACGCCTATTAAACTGGTCCAGTGCTTTACCAGCTCATGAGAACAAGCCTTTGTGTCAGAGTATCATTATTTCTAAAGCAATTCTATCAATAGTTGCTGTTTCATGACTGTGTGCTTTAATAAAGTACCCTTCCTAAAGTGGTTGCCCTAAGGGGTGGCGGTTGGTTAAAATAATGAAATTATACTTGCTAACCGCAGACCCAAAATAATCATGGTTCAAAACCAACCTTGGTTTAGGGTCATGGTTCGGTTAAAATTTGTTACCTTATGATTGACATTTTATTTCATGCTCATTTTTGTATAATTTGAACTCATTTTAATGTATCTGACTGATTTTTTGTGTGCTTTTTTTTTACTTTATTATTCTTGCAATAGAAATTATTTTTGAACACTACTGGTGCATGTTTTTTTTTTTAACCAAAACAAACCAGATGGCAATTTTCAAGTTATAGATACTGTACTGTTTTAATTTATTTATTTTTATACGTCTTCTCCATAACCGTCGTTAACACACTTAGTGCTTTATTGAAATGTAGTGTAAATTTACTGCAATTTGCCCTTGTAGTTCAATGCACCACCTTCTGAGATTAAAAACAATGCAAGATGTGACAGATATTTTTCAAATCCAACCTATAAACTGAAAGTTTTCCCCTTCAGAGCAATCAACTTTCCCGACACACCTCATATGTGGGTAATAAGGTGTCAAGATAACACACAGGATAATGTAAAATAGAAACTCTACCTGAGCTGCTGCAGGTCTATCGTTGCCGTATGAATGATCAATATCATTGGCAGAAATATTATGCTGTTTAGGGCCCCGTGGCCATGCATTAGAGCACCCTGGCACCTGGCTTATCATTGTAAGATCCCAAACCAAACAGGTGTTGTGTGAAGAGGAGTCATTTGGAGCGATTTTTGGCTCCCTAATGTAAAACCACTAAACTCACCTCCCCGCCGTGGCCGTCAAAAATCCCAAAAATGGACGGGTGGCTCTTGTTGACGATGTCGGCGAGCACATCGTAGCGGTCCTCCATGTGGTCTCGCCGCCCTTGGATAGAGTACACGGCGACGTTGTGGCTCTTCAACTCCCACGTCTTGGCGAACTCGGCGTCCAGGACGTCCAGGCCGCCGAAGCGCTCATTCTGCATCATCTCGGCGACTTTCCCCTTGACCATCTTGACGGCGTCGCGGCTCGACTTCACGATGGTCTTCACTTCGTCCGTGTGGAAGAAGTAACTCCATAAGGCCAAGCTGATGCACAGTAGGAACAGGGTCTCCGGCCGGAGCAGAAAATAACGCATTATACGACCTAAGAGGGACAGCAGGGTCATCGTATCTTCTATCATTTATTATGGTTTACAACCGTGGGAGAATCGCAGCAGGTTGTGCGCGTTTACGCCGGTCAATTTCACTCCATGGCTTGCATGTGCGGCGAGGATCCGTCGTGGAGAAACAGGCTCATTTAATCCAGAAGATGGACAGTTGATGAAGAAATGACACTTATTCCACCGATGTGTTCGAGCTTACCACTTCAGCGTTCAACCCCGCAGTGATAGACGCTCAGTCCTTTGACCACTCGGGGGTCCGGCAAGTCCACCACGTCGGTTTCGACGAAGACTGCGTACCGGTCAGGGGTCGAGCTAAGCAGGCATCTGTTCTTTTGATCAACCAAGTTACTGTCCCCCCTGTCCCTCAAAATAGCTGCTTGAAGCGCGTCCTCACATTCCCAGCTGCCACACGGGCTGGCTGCGACCGAACACTGCTGCAGAGTGAATTCGCGTGCCGTGATGCCTTCACTTACACCAAGTTATCTCAAAATGCTCACCTGCAGCTTCTGTCACACATTTTAATAACGTAATTTAAGTCTTACCAGGAAGCCAAGTGTAAATCATAAAAAAGGAAAATAACTATTAAAAGAAGACAAATATACACCGAACAAACGTGAATTGTTAACATTATCCAAGGTAATAATTGTCCGTTCGTGAATCAAGATGCAAATTTGCGCTCAACATAGATTGTATTTATTTTCAGAAAATAGCATTGAAAATCATTGGTAAGAGCCGACATGAAGCAAAATGATGGAAATGAGAGTAGTAGTAAAGGCATGGACCAACCTCAACAAAGTAACAAAGGTATCAAGACTGAATCGGGCGTTTCGTCAAATATTTAAAAAATAATTCAATTAGGATCTGTGACATAGATTTAAAATATTTTTTGAAGCCTTTGGTAAATGTATTTAAATAGAGAGGCTAAAAGGGAAATTTGGGAATGAGATGTGGGTACCTATATGTGAGCTAAATCAAACAAATGAAATAATGACTTAAATAATATGTACAAGATCTTTCAAACCGTAATCGTACTTGAAATTTAATGAGCAAAACACAAGCTACACAGAAAACAGTGTGCACTGTGGTTGAAAAAAAAAAACAAAAACAAACAAAAAAGACTAAACATTGTGCATATTTTTCCGATAGTCATGAATGCGTCCTTCCTTCACGGTAAAGCAAGTGACAGACCGTGCTTTGGAACCATTTAAAGTATTTGTAGACCTACGTGATAGATATTTGACTTTAATTATTATTATTATCATCTGGAAAGTCGTCCTTGCCATACTTCTGTTTATTAATTAAACAGTAGTTGCCTAGTTTTACTCAGGCGCACGCAAGGCAGCTATGGGTCCTCACGCCATGAATTCCGTCACTCAGCCTTTCTCCACGGACCTCGATGGAAAAAACGTGGAGCTGAAACTGTGTGCAGAATCTCTTTTTAAGTATTTACTATCATTAGTAAATATCTAAGTTGTGTGCCTACTAGATTTTCAACTGTTGACATATCTTGTGAACATTATTTCATAGTTTTTCATCAGTGTCTTTTCGGTTTACCAATTTGGACAAGAAGTAGAGCTGCTAATGCTTATGCTAACGCTAGGTGTTTGACATTAACGCTAGAGCCAATGCTTGTTCTAATAATTTTGTCATTGGTTTTAATCGTCGGAAAATACACACATTCATGATTGTGTAGCATTTGGCGTAAAATTGTGACAACTAAATTATACCCTGACAACTCGCTGTGGCGACCCTCGATGAGACAAGTCCAAAGTCCCAACAAAAACATCATCTATTGATTGTGTCCGTAGGAGTCCTCACGAAACTGTCAGGTTGTCAAGAATGGAGTACGTACAATCTGCTGCCACGAGCACTCAGGGAAATATGTAAGTAGTAAACCTCTTAATCCAGGGGTGTTAAACTCATTTTGACGGCGGTGAAACCAAATAAATGTTTAATCGTCTCATATGATTACTTGTGCACAACAAATTAATGAATGACTACTTTTGAAATCAGTCAACTATAATATATTTTTCAATTATTGTTCGAGTGTAAACAGGGTAACAATTATTGCATCATCTCGTTGTTGATATATTTTGTTGCTTTTTGAAAAGTAGTTGCTTGGGGTGATTGGTAAATTCGCCAAATATCACCAATAAATCATTAAGTTGGGATCAGTGACTGTTCTTTTAGCGCTTCTGCTCACACATGCACTTTGAATTATGGAAGACCCCAAAAAATAATATATATATATTTTTTTTATGTCACTAGTGAATTCAAATAAAAATGAAAAAAGCACTTAATCGCCCAGGCCTGGTTCAGGCTACGTACTAGTACAGACTAAAAAAAAAAAAAAAATCTATTAAAGTCTATGTACTTAATAGTCATTTCTCTTATACGATATTTTGCACCAGTCCCAGGAGTTATGTTAGCATAAAATTTATTAGAAGGTTAAAAGCCATTATAGATATTGGTTGACTCAATTTGCTTGAATATTGTTCATTGTATTTTCTATTGTTCCCAGCCTGTGCTGCACTTGTGGCGTCCCAATTCCTCCTAACCCGGCCAATATGTGCGTGGCTTGTCTGCGCACTCAGGTAGACATCTCAGAGGGAATTCCCAAGCAAGTGACAGTGCATTTCTGCAAGCAATGTGAACGGTTTGTCCTATGACATTTTTTTTAAACCCTAAATTGAGCCTATGAATCAACGACTCCAAATTACAACATTGCTTTGTCCACCTTCTCTTTGCAGGTACTTGCAGCCTCCAGCCACATGGGTGCAGTGTGCTCTGGAGTCCAGAGAGCTGCTCACTCTTTGTCTGAAAAAAATTAAAGGCTCTATGACCAAAGTACATGTTTCTCTTACATCTAACATTTCTATTGACATATTGACACTTAAATATGTCAAAGATGCATGTTAACCGGGAGGGCTGGCAATGAAATGCAGCATGTTGTTATTTCATTCATTCATAACACCTATCCTCTTCTAGGTCCGACTTATTGATGCTGGCTTCTTGTGGACAGAGCCTCACTCAAAAAGGATTAAGATGAAACTTACCATACAGAAGGAGGTAATGATAAATACATTTTGAGGCCTCAATTATTGTCTAGTCTTATGCTTTGGGCAAGTGGAAATATACCCAAAATGTGGTCTTTATGTTTATTGACCAACCAAGACGGATCAGCAAGTTTTTATATCTCTGGTGAATTTTTCCAGAAAAACGGCAAGTAATGGCAGTAACTGAGTGTGTCGTCTTGTACCAAGTATTCTTACTCTGCTGCACAACCTAGTTCGTTGTGTGCCATTCATAGCCTCAAAATGTCACATGGTTCGAGACCGTCGTAAACCAAGCATCCTCTTTACATATTGACAAACACAAACATTTCTCCATGAATTTTTACCATAAAGAAGTTACCACATTAATTTTCCACACATCATTTCAGGTCATGGTCGTGGGAAAATTAATTTGTGTAAACTATAAAAGATTCCAAGTCAAAAATGTATACCTGCGTTAAGATGAGGATGTTGAGGATATGGTAAAGCTACACTTTTGTATAATTGACACGAAATTGAGATAGTACTCAATATTCTGTAATTTGTCTTCCTTCCTGAATGATGTTGATATGAGAAGAGAAAAGCAAATGTTAAGCACTCGTCATGATGACCACTGTCCGCCATGTTGTGACAGCGGATGGCCAAACCTGTAACTATCTCTTTGGCCTCCCTAGGTGTTGAATGGTGCCATCCTTCAGCAAGTCTTTGTGGTGGAGTATGTCATCCAAGCTCAAATGTGCGACGACTGCCACCGCGTGGAAGCCAAGGACTTCTGGAAGGCCGTGGTTCAAGTTAGACAGAAGGTAAGTGATTGTGAGCCACCAAGGTCACATTTACTCTGTCAAAAGCTGACTTTGGCTGATGTTGAAAAAAATTAAATAGTCAGTCTATATACAAACCATTTCAATCAGGTTGGCACATTGTGTTAATCATAAATAAAAACTGAATACAATTGATTTGCAAATCATGTCCAACCCATATTTAACTGAATACACTAAAAAGACAAGCTATTTAATGTTCAAACTGATGAACTTTATCGTTTTTGCAAATATAAAGTTAAACCACATATTCAGAGAGTATTCTCATACATATGATTTTTAATAAGTTGTGTATTATGAGAAATAAGGCAAAAATGTTAAATAAAATGTTAGATAAATGTTCCACTTCTGACAAAAAGGTATAATTACGGTAAGTCAGTGCTTTAGGATGCAGGGTGACAATTTCAAAATAGTTTAAAAGAAGGCTGATATTTTTATGACAGGTCATGATTGTGAGAGTCAAAATATTACAAGAAATAAAGCCATTAATAATAAAAAAGCAGTAAATGAACCTAGTGCCTTGGTATAGTTCCATTAACATCACCACTCTTTACAACCTATTCTATAAAAATTAATAATCCTTATTATCAAGGGATTTATTGCAGGGATATACTGTAGCTCAACAGTATGTGCAGTTGCTCCAGATTGGCAGTTAAGATTAATAACCTTGACACTTGGCAGACTTTAATGTGTAGCAGTTAAAATGAGACGGACCCAAGAAAAAAAAGTTAATTGTTGCTTTACAATTCCACTGGAATACATTTTAATAAATGGCCTTTTCAGCATCTGCAAATGTTTTCATATGCCCGCTCAATTTTGTCTGGACTGTTTTTGTCAAAAGGTTTCTTTTTTATTTCTGACAGACTCTTCACAAAAAGACATTCTACTATCTGGAGCAACTAATCCTCAAGCACAAGCTTCACCAGAATACCCTCAACATCAAAGAAATTCATGGTGTGTTTTGTACATTTGTATTGTTTCTTTTGAATGGTATGCATTTTTACTAGATAAGATGGTGGTTGTCAGAATGAGGTACTGGTACCAAAAGTGGTACTTGGGTTCCTTCTATTGGTATGTAAAAGAATCACTGAATTAAAATTAATGTTCCAGTGGCTTAAACTTAAAAAAAAAAAAAAATCCAATAAAGTATATTTAAGTATAGTTCAGTGGTATTTATCTTCTAAATCCTACACATTTTCATTTAATCTTTTTGATTAAGTCAGACCGTGTAATGTTCCAGCGGCTTACAATAATGACATGTTTTTTAGGAATATAAACTTTACCTCATTTTTAATGAACAGTACCTATTACTATGATACTGTATGTTAATGTTCCTCATAATGGTGATACGCAGACAGCCATTTTTTAAGGGTAAAAATTTGGACACAATAATATGCACAATGTAGCATAAGGCAAGACAGCTTTGTTTATATTGCACATTTCATACCCAGAGTAGTCCAATGTGCTATACAGGATTAAAAGAATGTTTTTAAAAAAAAAAAAAAAAAATGAAGTTCCCCACATCTGACAGTGTTTGTTCTGCCACATGGCCACCATGTTTTCTCTCATCTTTCCCTCTGTCTTTGTTGTGTTGCTCAT